CATCTGTATGTATATAGCTTCACTCGCCCATGTGTGCTTTCTTTAAGTTTACTCGAATAAATACATAAATACGTATGAACATTCAATACAGGTTTATCATCTTTCTAATTTTTCTTCAACGCCCTTGCATCTGCTCGTCGCTTAAGATCAATGGCGGCCAGATCAGATGTCGCCTGTAGCAGCTGTATTACATTCAAGAGTTGTTTCAATACGCATAGAGGCGCACATGCGTACAAGAGTACTCTGTATAACCCCATGCCGTCGGTATAAGGTACTTCAATACCTTCGCTAAACCACAGCATATACAGACAGACAAAGAACCCATCGTTTGCAGCACACATAGTGAAAAGGATGGGCTTGTAGTAGTAAAGTCGAAGAAGTGGTTGATTCTGATCCTTGTGTGACTTTGCTCCCGTGATGCTTGTCACCAGCATAACCATCCAGTGGGATACAATATCCAAAGCGATGAGACACTGGAACGTGAACGTAATCTCACGTCGACCCAGCTGTGCACCGTACATGCATGCTAACTGCACCAACATTAATGTGGTTGCGCATCTGTCCGTAAGCATATCCAGAGCCGCTCCTAGCAGTGTACTCTGGTCAAAGTGACGGGCCGCCAAACCATCAAAAGCATCCAAGAAACAGGACAGTGCGTACAGCCAAAAGGTGGCGAATGGATCGACTTCGGCGAACCAAAATGCACCCAAGGCGAGGAATATGCGTGCGAACCCGATGAGATTCGGATAGAACAGATAAATGTTCTCCTGTGCTTGTGAGTCCCCCATGGTGAGATGATATGCTAGTACAAGGTATACGAATAACGGTGGTATTATGTATTTTCGTAATATATGTATCAGAATGTACAAGCAATTTTGATTTTTTTGAAAAAGTGTAGCTAGTAAATAGTAGACTTTTACATTTGAAAAAATAAATATATACATATAAGAGTGTGGGAGTGGGTCAGAGGGAGTCTATGGGACAGTATTATTAGAGAATTCAGATCGGTAGACTATTGGACGAGACGATTCACTATCTCTCAACTTTCACAACCGTCACAGCCTCACAGAGTCGCAGGTCACAGGTCACAACACACAAAAACATGTTTGCGTTCAATTTTCAGACGGCTATGATGTTTGTCAGTACTTTTGTCCGATGTTGGCGTGTTGGCGCTGACGCATAGGATTCTACTATTGAAATTTTGGGGCTATGTGTATAGAACGCGAATAAATTTTCTCTGTAAAGAATATGAACTTTTGAGTATGTAAACGAAATATATCCCTGCGAAATTACAAACACAAGCATCACATATCGTATAAACTTATTTATTTAGAAGAAGGCTATGGGTTCGGTCAAGCTAACGGGACCGTTGTAAAAAGCTTATATAATATTGCGATGGCGGGTTGTTCTATAATATTAATATTACAAATTTCTTAGTCGAACACGGATGTATAAAAATGAATGATAATCTCAAACTCTTAATAAAATCCTCTCATTATCAAGGGCATATCTGAAGCTCCTAGCCTCCTACTGGTCAGCCAAATATTCACGGGTTGACTTTGTTTTGGAAAGAATCTGTACCTATATGTGAATAGAAGTATGAATAGCAATTTCGAAACGCGGTGGCTCGCACCTAGTGGATGATGGCGACTGTAATATGGATAAAAGATATTCAAAAATAAAGTTGAATATTTACCAGCAGAACAGATATCTGCTGAGTTTTTATATATGCCTTTGTACATTTCCTACGCTGGCAAAAGCAAACTTTGTTATCTGTGACTGCAGGGCTCACGATCGCTCATAAATACTTCAAACCTGAAAGTCATCACTCACCTCGAAGTCACAAGTCCAACCGCACTTATATTTTTAGAGAAGAGGCCACAAAGCACAAGCCTGTAAATATGTACAGTACACTAGTACAGTAGGTACCAAGAGACCTAAGACATGCGGAAATACAAGTCCTAACTCCTTTATGTTTTACACTTCTAGAGGGTCACGAATACAATGTATGATTTTTCTTTTCTTATACTACATACAGTACATATATTGTTTTTATTATTATTTTCTAATCAAATTATATATAAAAATGTATGTACTGAAAGCGAAGTCCCACTCCACCAGAGAGCCCATGCTCCTAGAGTCCAGACTCCAGAGGCCCAGGCCCCAGACCCAGGGCCAGAGGCCAGAGAGCCCCAGAGCCTAGAGGGCCCAGACAATGGCCTTCATTTTTATATATAAAAAACCCCCTAGATTCTTTCCTAGTAAATTTCCCGCAAATCCCGCCCAAAATTTCGCTTCTAGGACATTTAGGCCCAAAGGTAGGCTGGAAATAGCTACTAGTCCAATCAATTTGTCCGTCACTCTCATTCTGCTGTTGGTCACCTTTTTGGCACATAAAGTCATAAAGACCAATATTGGCCTAAAAAGGCTGATTTTAGCCAATAAATGAAGAATGACGAGCTTAAAGCGCGTATTGAAATTGCATTTAAAATATACGTTTTTAACTCCCAATTCGCATGTTGGAGACCCGAGAGGCCGACTGGCCGAGACACATGAATTGTTGTCAAAATTTGGGAGTCGGAGCCACTCGGAGGTCGGCGTTTGGAGTTTTGGACTGTGTCACTGAGTCAGTGTGTCGTCTTTTCTATGTGTGTTCCATTACCCAACTTCTTGTATATTTTGCCTTGGAGTTGAGACTTGGAAACATACAATGCCTAGTTTAAGATTATCTATATAAAAAAATAAAAAATGTTCCAAATTAGGTATAATTAAAATATAAATGATGTCGTAAATTCATTCTCGACACTTCAAAAGTTCAAATGTTCAATAGGCCACAACAAAAGCGGGGTTCCAACAACTGGAGGTTGTGCTTGACGTCGTTATTTATTAACAACACGATTTGCCTCTCGCCTGTTTGATGATTTCACTTCCCAACTGCCAAACTGACAACTGCACTGCAGTCTGCAGGCTGAGCAGCAGTTTCTCGACCAAGTCTCTTCAAGTCTCAAGTCTCACAAGTGCTCAACTCCTCTCGAACAACACACAAGAAGAAGAAGGGACTTCAAACTCAAAGGTGAGACTCAACAACGAGAGCAGTGCACAGAGACACACACAAGAAGAGAGTTGATAAATAATTAAAAAATATATATAAACAATCGAACAAATATGGATATTAGGGTGGGGGACTGGGGGACTGGGGGATGCTTTGATTGCTTTCCCTTCTTTGTGCAAATAAAAAAGACTAACAAAAAATATTTATATATAAATAGCAAGTTCGCGACCGTACCAATTTCAGTTCATTGGATTCAATACAAACATCTCAACCCCTATCTAGGAAAATGGTATGTTGTGTCAGTAATCAACTATCTTCAAATAAATCTCTGCCGTCTGCAAGTTGACGTAAATACCTGGTACTTCTGGTTTTTTGCATGCTGTTCATACTTCGTCATCCTATCTTATGTTGCTTGTATATTATGAAGCTCTATATTATAAATCCATATTTTCATTCTAGTTATGATCCACTGACTGAACTGTAATAGGTATATTTCGTCACTATGCCTCGTAGCAAAAAACACTTCAATTGTATATTCTGTCAACATCGGTAATCGCATGCCAGTCCTATTTGCCCAACTCAAGCACATATTGCGACTGTTATGGTTGGTGATTTTTAAAATCTTGATACTAGATGTTGGGGTGCTTATTGTTGTCTTCTGCCCGTAGAATGAAGCAGTTTGCTGTCTTCTGCCCGTAGAATGAAGCAGTTTGCCTAGCTTCTACATACAAGCATACCAAACTCGTTTGTATCGCATTTTTGTGCTGCACACTTAGCTATACAATCTTGAATAGTAAACCATAGGCTCACATATACACTCTTGAATAGTGAAACATAAGCTCAATTGTACGGTCGTTTCTTGTTGACAATAGGATTTCGACGGAGCCCAAGTGGCCGTGAAGAACCTAAAGACCTCTCCCAGTAACGATGAGATGTTGAAGACATACGCCCTGTTCAAGCAAGCCACCGTTGGAGACTGCAACGCTGCCAAGCCTGGTATGTGAATTTTTGCGTGTATTTTTGCGTGCAACTTGTGTACTTGGTGCACTTATGTATCGCTGGTCTTGCTAGTGCCTGAATTGAACCCTGTTTGTTTTAGCACTTATATTATTAATACAGCTAACCCTGTTTGGAACACTATTGAATCTATAAGTTGTGCAGTACAAGTGCTGTGTTGTGCTTGCGCTTTGCTTACGTTCTCGTCGAATGATTTGTCGTCTATTGTACTATCGTTTGCATATAGAGATTACTGTGCTCTAGGTTTGATACTAGTAAGCATTGAATTCAAGTCCAGAATAGACAACGCTGCCTTGCCTGTCGATGCTATTGTTGTTGTTGTCACGACCCGTGTTGTATGCGTAAAGTTGATGATAGCACGTATGTGTCTGGAACTCGTTATTTATGCTCTTGAAAATAGTAGCATCGATTTCGTATTACACAGGCTGCAATGGAGTACAGTCGAAGACGAATCTCACAGATACCTAAATACGATAATTACTCGAAAATGTATCTACCCTGGAGGAAGTTTGCCCACAGTACTTCCTCATAGAAATATACAGGTTATACTGTACCTCTATTTCCGCAAAATACTCGTAAACCCTAAGTACTCTGGTAATTTTACTTTAGTGCACTGCTTGTTTATCAATTAGTTCATTAGTATATTTGTGTTTGTTTACGCAAGTTTGTATCGAGCTGCTTGTTTATTAAAAGGGCGTATTTTCTAATGTCACTTCACTTTACAGGTATGTTTGATGTCAAAGGAAAGGCCAAGTGGGGAGCATGGAACGATATTAAGGGCAAGTCCCAGGATGACGCCAAGGCGGAATACATAAAGCATGTGGAGGAGCTAATCGCCAAGTACGGCAGCACCTCAATGTAGATATAGTAATAGACCTAGTTGTTTGGAAGTGAATAAACTTTTACGTTCTCATTACTGAGTGGCAGGCAGACGCAGTGTGCAATTTTCCTTTCACTGGTGCGACGTAAAGTGGTCTTACGTCACAAATGGGCACGGAGGCACCGTATTCAGGAAATAATGCTGTTGAACAAGTTGTAGATTTGTGAATAGAATACAAACAAATTTGATATGCAAGTTGCGAGTGCTTCATCAGGATTCAACAGGAAGAGATTCAACGGAAAATGGTCAATAATTGTCCGCGGGAAGTTTTGAACGCTCAACCGGATGACAATTACGAACTGTCTTCCAAGAACTTCCAAATCACAATTTTAATTCTAACTTCGTTTGTAAAAATCTGACTTTAGCTTACAAGGGCGGACATGTAGAGTATGTCTGGTGTGATATTGAGTACGCCATATATAACAATATAGGTTTGTTCACAAGCAATCTGTGTGCGTTGCTTGGCACACAGGTTAAACAGTAGATCTACAATCCCCTTATAAACAAACCGAGTTTGAATATGTCGCACAGACGACAGATAAACGATGGAGAAGACACGAGTATATTTTATAGTTTGCATTGCATTTAATCGCAAGCACAGAGTTGAGCCCATATCATATTCACTGAATGCTGGAAGTTGTATTGATTTCAAGACATGATGACTATGTGTTTATTGTTGGTATTTATATTAATTAGAAAAAGCTTGCTATCCACGCAGCCCACGCTTCATTCACATTTTGGGCTCATAGCCTGCAATCCTGCATTGCGTAGACAGTATACCATACGGAAATGTGACCCCCGAGTCATACTCATACTCATATATAGACGGATGGACGCGGTAAATATGTATTGATAATGGTTGGGCTTGGAGTCGTGATATTACGTTGCGGCGTTATGGCCCTCTGGCCCTTGGATTTCGGTCGCGAGCAGAAATCAGGTCTCTTCCGACGACATTGTCCAAATCATGACCGTCTAGTTGTATGTACACAGTAAAAGAAAATATAATAATAAGAATTATAAAAGGGAGAGCGGACAAGTCACAAGTCAAAAGTCTTTACTCCCTACTAGGGCCCATTCTACAAATCCAGAGGACAGAGGGCCGTGATTGTTGTTGGTATTTCATATTTGAACAGTCATGATCATGACATCATCTTTTCATCATCCCATTTTTTAACAAAAAGAGTAGAGTAGAAACCCTATATCAATAACATATCGCCACTTCCCCATCTCATAGCCTTCTAAATCGAACACTAGCTCTACATCCCAAGTATCTGCAGCTCACGCTTGCGCCCTATCTCGTACAATACTCAACTATATCACAACATGGCTGTTACCATCATTCCAAGTGGTACACCTATGCCACAGTGGCTGAGAAATTTGTCGAGCGACGAGGCCGAGAAACTGGAAAGTTGGCCACCTGCACGGCATGGACAGGAGTTCGATTGGACCATTCCAACTAATGAACAGTATGTTTTAGTATGTTAGAAGCGGATCGGCATTGAGATGAGGTATATCTGTGGGGTCATTTATGATATGCATAGCCTACTCTTTTAATGAATGAATCGTATGTTTGCGGATGTGATGGATTTATACTTCTTGGTGTTATGTATTCTATGCAGTTGATAAAGTTTCATCATAGAGATGTTGAGCTTGGGTCTGTAAACGTGTATGTTGGAATGCCAAATTCAGGGTTGTATGAGCATGTTTAGGTCTGGAATAGATATATCTCTGCGTGGCTATATGTGATGTGTAGTTCCAAGATATACCAGGGACGCAATGAGCTTGAAGTGTGTTTACATACATATTTGAAAGGTCCTAATCATGGTTGTATGTGAGAGCACGATACACACGAGCATATATGCAGTTAGAGTTACAGATTTATTTCACAGCACAGCTAATACAACTGAAGGCTGATGGTAAAAGAAATGGACTCTCTCAGTTTTGTCGGCGCACGCGTACAAAGGATTTTCAGTACAATTTGTTGCGATATAATAGCGTTGTGCACGCCATATCGTTCAGGAAGGTGGGACTATCAGACTTCTCATTCGTTTAACATAGTTCTAGTTGCTAAATGTAATTTTTATACACAAGACCTCCAGTACTACCTAATCACTTCCACCTTTCTGATTTAAGTTGATAAGCCGTATGTGCTGCGATATAACTGTGTCACACACGTCACAATATACAGAGTGGTGGAGCTTGTAGGAAATTTGAAACGTGTGACATTGTAGTAGTTGATAGAATAATATACATGGTCTCTAATAGCGACTACTTATACCTTGCTGATTGTAACATCAAATAGATACCATGATCCAACTATAAACCGCTTTGCGTCCAAATTTGCCGAAGCTCGGAAACGCCTGGATTATGAATATCATCGCAATCCGGTATGTGAACGTAAATTTGTCAACACATATATCTGTAAAACTAGTAGGGATGTGATTGCAACTTGTTGTGCAGAAAAGATGTAGTGAGATCTGCCTATTCGACTATCCGTGGAATCGAATGGAATCAAATTAATGACTTATACATGTACGCGATGTGCAGGTATGTCCTCGTCAGGAACTTCAAGACGCGATTCTGACACGTGTGCTTGCGGCGAGTAACCCACTGAAGACCACTACTAAACACACGCGGAAACCATGGCTGGTGTTCACAGCCGGGGCTATGGGTGCTGGGAAGGGGTACGTTTTGTCTACATTACACAACGCGGATGCTTTCCCAATGTCGCAGTTTGTGATGATTGATCCGGATAAGCTGAAGAATGAGTTGCCGGAGATGGCGGGCTATTTGCAGGTGTGTATTTTTAGAGAATGTCAATTTGGTCAAGGATTAATATGTCTGTAACATGGTTTGTAGTATGAACATAATGATACTGTGTGTCAAGTGGTTTGTCTCAAGTGTAATATCGACGGACAGACGCGGTTCTAGATAGTAGCCGTAGGTCATCTTGTCAATGCTGTATATTGCTGTAAGCCGTAAGACACAAGGGTCGCAAACCTTGTGATTTTTTTCTATCCTGTCTGAGTACTGTACAAATTTTGTCACATTCTAGTGGTCTGAATATTTACAGAATTTCTGCGCCCTGCCAAAACATATACGCCCACGTTTAAATAGCTCATACCTCAGTTTGTACATTCACGTCTGCCAGTATACAGTGGCATACTCGTATGCAATCAGTTTGTACATTCACGTATGCCAGATACAGTGGTACACTCGTATGCAGTTATTATTGTACTTAATTTACATATACACCATGTATTTGTAACTATATCTGCATCACGCCTCGAGATTTGTATTCACTACATGTATGCAAATTCAAACTAAGCGTTGTATGTGACAACCTATTTCTGTGTCTCTACTTCATGCTTTTCCCTCGGGTGTGTGGACCGGTGCAATGTCAGCATTTACTCGCATATCACAACTTTTAATTATTGTATCATATGAGTCATATTGACGTTGGTGCCCTCTGAAGATATTCATCTCATCCTCCTCGCAGGAAGAAGCCGAATCAGCGGCTACTAAAGTGCATAGAGAGTCCACCTTCATGTCTGATGTCTTGTTTGAATACACACTGCTGCAAGGGCGATCCCTGGTTGTGGACGGAAGTCTACGCGATGTTGATTGGTACTCTGATTTGTTTGCGAGGATCCGCCGAGAGTATCCGCTCTACCAGATCGGAATACTGCACGTGAGTGCAGAGAGATCTGTAATCCACCAAAGAGCCAGGTAAGTCCATCTGCGTAAATGATGTATAGTAACGTATAAGACAACTCTTGTGATACATACATGTATACATAAAATCATGCACACACGCACACATAGAATAGTACACATAAGTATAGTAACGTATGAGAATACTCTTGTGATACATACATGTATACACAAAATCATGCACACACGCACACATAGAATAGTACACATAAGTATATATACTTTCTCATATATATGGCCGCTTCGCGTCATCTGTGTCAACTAAACACGTAACCTTATTCAGAATCTAAATTTAGTACCTAACATATATGTTATACATAGATTTACTTACTCAAAATATGAATAGTATATCACCTTTCAGTACATGTTAAACCGATCGAATATCTCTTTGACGGAATCGCACACACCCCTGACGATTTGACAAGCGATCAAACTTACGAAATCGCGTATATGTGCATATCCATTAACTACACCGGTTTTTATCCACAAGGTAGTGAATTCTACAGCAAGTTTGAATATAGGGCCGTATCATATATTTTTAAATTTTATATAAACTTTTCAACGTTATAGAAACATTTACCACATTTGAAATATAGTTTAACTATATGGGTTTGGGTCCGTTGATGTACAGATTGCATGCACCGATTGCATGCACCAATAAGAGAAATTGTATTCAGTTGAATTATCGCTGATTATTAGCCACTATTCTCAAAAAGTGATTTTGGATTTTAATATGTAGGAAACGGGCCGAACTTAGTAATCGCGTCGTGCCTACTGAGACAATAGACCAGTCCATTGCGCAGGTGCCAAAGTCAGTTAACACTCTGGCACCACTAGCAGATGTAGTGTACGAGATAGACAACGGGGAACACAGTGACTTGACTATTAGACGCAAGCTGGTCTGGGGCGAGCAGGTAGGGCTCTAGAAAACACCTTTGTTAAAACAACTATTTACAATTATATGCCAACCTGCAGATACGCGCATTTGATGCAACTGGCTTTAGGATTTCATTCTGCTCGATGTGTTGTGATCCTTTCATTCTTATGAGCAATTGGGTGTATATTGGTGCGCAAGTATTCGTAAACTTAACTTATGTACTGTTGTTCAGGTGGAGGTGGACCCCGAGGATTGGGACGAGTTTGCGACTGTGTGGGCGTCAGACGATGAGAGCGACTCTGACAGCGGAATGAACACTGAAACCGAGAGCGAGGTCGAAGGCGATGACATGGTATTTTTTGACAATGTTCTCCCCACGGTTACTGGTAGTACAATACTTGACCACAGGGAGATTCCATTAGACGATATTACTATGGGAAATACAATAGAGAATATACGGGTGGAGGTTGGTGTTGGGGTAAGGCTGGAGGTTGATGGTGGGGTAAGGTTGGACGGTGACGGCGGTTCTGGAGAAACGGGGGCTCGAACTGAATCATTAGATATAGATATGTATGATCGAGCGGAAGTTCAAGGGTACAGCGGACCTAAGTGGATCGCTAGTGACTCGCGATTGGTATCAAATGACACTGATCAGGTGTCAAATGAAGTGTCAAGGGATTTTAGACCGGTGGAAGTGCATCGTATGGAGAAGACTTTTCGGAGTAGGAAGGGTTCTGACGCAAGTAAGAAGGTGAAGCCTAAAGGTGATAGAGAAAATTGGTTGAAGTCCAGCTTGAGTATGCTGAGTCCCTGCCCGAAAATGAGATTGTCAAAAATCGGCAAATTGGAACAGAAAAAGAAAATCAAGAAAAAGAAAAGGAGCAAGATGACCAAGCATGTCAAGCGGACGTTAGGGAAGATGCGTTTAAGTACTAAATGCTGTATGGCGACATGTTGGGATGATGCTGGTGTGCAGAAAAAAGCCAACGATGTCTGGAAACAGGCGTATCCGAGCTTTTGTCCGCGGTGCACACTCACGGGAGACAGTCAGTGTGGTGTGTGCATACACGGAGACTACTCGTGTGCATGTAGGATATGTGGTGCGAAGTCTAATAAGACGATAAACGGGAAAGAGAAGGATAAGGAAAAGGATTGGTATCACTTGTCATGTCCGGTTAGGGCCAAGTTCTTCGATAGTTTGAGGTTTTTCGATCCCGCGGGGATGACGAGTATGATGACCAAGAGAATTAAGGATTAGAGCTCTAATACGATGACTATGCCATAAAACGAGTAAACAGTAAGCATCTGTGATGGAGACGGTCTCCTCTAAGTAGCTATTTCCTAATTATTTAATACCTCTTTGTGAATGTCGCAGTTTCTCACACAAGGAAATGATATCTTAGGTATGAACTCGAGTAGAGCAAAAACCTAGACCCAAGGATTACATTACAGATACATAAATTTTATGTATAAATTATCATGCATGACTAAACTGTACTCTTTCTCAGTAGGAAGCATTTTAATAGTGGTTCTGTTGTCAGAAGTAAAAAAGAAAATAGATTCTCATGGAATATAAATACCGTTTGTCTGTTTTCTTTTTAAAATTAGTATTGTGTATGGAACCCTGTATTGAAGATTGAAAAATACTAAGGTTTAATAAGTAAGTTCTCGCAACTTGATAGACAATTCTGTCTCCAAACATGCCAAAACTTCCTTGGGACAGTTACCAGTTAAGTGTGCATTCTCGCTTTGAAGTCCAAATCAGCTACGAGCTTTGCCTGTGAATCTATTCAAGGTGTGTAAGTAGTGTTTCTTAATACCTCACACTGGCGAGTCTGGGAATACCTCGGCGTGAGCTTTTCTCCGAGCATCTAATTGCTGATCAGCCTCGTTACACATGTATTAAGTGCGAAGATCTGAAACTTCCAGGCCTGTGTAGTTACTACCTTTTTCAAGTCCATTTCAGCTATCGGATGTACAAGTAGTGTGAACACGACTTCTCCCTACATAAATTACATATGACCACAACTATTCTGACCGAAGTGTCCATTTGAGCACCGTTCGTCGTATTGTCTTTCTCTTACCAACTGTCATCCCTTGTAAATTGTGTAATAGATCAGCCTTCGCCACACGGTGACTACACCGCGTGCATTCACACCTAAGCTCAGCCACTCCAATTACCACACACTTCTCCTTGGATACTAAACTTTCAGCATTAGTTTAATTAGGTTTTATGAATGAATCATCGCTGAATCATCTCTTTATAGTCATTCATCTCGGCTACAAGAACCGGAGTTTCATTTCTTTGTACAGGTCAGTGTATATAATATCTCGTATTATACCACGTGATTCATTTGCAAGACACGCTTTCGACATTATATTAACTATGTTTAACTAACAAGCAGATGTCAAAATATGAGACCAAGAACTGCTAAACCTAAAGTCCTAAATAATTTCACGTTCCGTAAACAGGCCAATCTGCCACTATACTTTGCTCGCACTACATATACTTGTGGAAATGTACCGATATATTCGGAGTTGTATATGTCCCTGTCCTTGTTGGAACAGATAGCGAACAAATTTTAGCTATCTCGCAGTTTTAGTATTCGTATTCTTGGCGATTCACACTCTCTTTGGTTTAACTACCCCAGAAAGACGGATCTCGCTGCAAAACGTGTTCCCGTGATACCATCTGGATATCCGTCGCGTTATTGAGTTTGAACGTCTTTCAGCAGGCCAAATAAATTTTGACGAACAGGCTCAGTAAGAATTCCAGTAATCCGTGAATTGCTACCAAAATACCAATACCCGTATTATCCACCGCGTTTCTTAAAAAATGGTATCAATTAACAACGATATGTCGCATACATGCGGTAATTGTTTGGAGTCTCCAAAAACCATTGCTGACAGGCATGTCATACGATTCTCATGCTACAAATATAAAAGCATTCGTCAATCATAGTAAGTATACTGCAATCATATTACTTTTGTAACCGTATAGACCCTCTAGTATCGCTGTAATCTTCCATATGGTTGCATTAGGCTGTACGACTAAATTTCAACATCCTACCAACTGTTGTACCTTCTAAATTGCCAGCTGCTGCCCTAGTTGGCGTTGAAATAAGCGATGCATAAGCATCACATATTTCTATATTGGTCAATGTATCTCTGATTTTCATATCAAGCCTTTCACCCGTTCCAGCGACCCGTGTTATCTCCCAGCGCAATAAATGTGAACGACTGTTGAGTAAGACCTCAAGTAACCAGTTCTACGTATTGCTTTCTATCGTTATTAATGCCTAGTAGCGGATCGATGAAAGTACCATCATGCATTCCCCATTACATTTACGCAGAAACTTCTTTCCTGAGTTAAAATATTCAGTTATCTGCTCAGCCGAACCTCAACTCTTCGTTAGTACGTTTTCTTAGCTATGCCCGACGAATACTGGGTATACTATTTAGCGGTGCTTTTATAAAGTCAGTAACTACCATGTCATCATCTCCTTCTGCGCCTCCTTGCCCACCAGATATTAATGCATCATAGGTGTAGAAAGTTTATACCCAGAACGCCGTTCATCACTCATCGCCAATGATAGCCGTAACAATGGTGAACGCACAAATATCATCTGATTGGTATACAGCGTCAATCGCTGTTCTAACTACGTACGTGACCTGATATATCATTTGTATCTACTAGCTCCCAAAATATGGCTTGAATCTTCTGTGTGTTCCATCCCACGAATTCATTATCTTCTAAATGCGTATTTAATATTGCGGCAGTATTTTATTTTTTAATTGGCCACTTTAAAAGCTATCAGCGTTCAGTGGTAGTAAAGAAGTATACCATTTATCTTAGATATTTTCTTCAGACTATATTAATAAAATGAGTATGCTTTAGCGCTAATGAGTCTTCATACTCGCCTTTCCAATATATTTCAACTCCTCTTTTGACAGTAAATGTTGGTGTTCTACTTGGATTTGGAGTCCCCAGATGTTGGGTTTCACCGACAGCCGCAGCATGACGGCGGTCAATATCCAAGGACACTCTTAGGAATGTTCTCGTACGCGTATTCATTCTCTAGCAGATGTGTCGCGTGACTAGAGAATGGTCATAAGCAAGCTAATTGCCAATGAATGAAGACTAACATCCTCTGACAGGTCACTACAAGGACACTCTTAGGAATGTTCTCGTACGCGTATTCATTCTCTAGCAGATGCGTCGCGTGACTAGAGAATGGTCATAAGCAAGTTAATTGCCAATGAATGAAGACTAACTTCCTCTGACAGGTCACTATCCAATGGGTTTCTAAAATAATCTTGTGTTTCTACAATAAGCACTAATATCGCCTTTTATCCACTATCAGTAATGATCTTTGTTTATGTATACACGTGATTGTTGTATCATGCCTCTTGCTGTAAATAGGTTAAGTTCCAATCTTTCTTCTCGTTGTCATGTGTCTCAGCAGCTAAGGCCTGCTCCCGTTATGTTTTTCTCTCAGTTTGTGTAGTGTCTCTCCCAATACACAAACAGACCTAGTTACTGCCGACGCATCGCTTTTAAGTCCAAATAAAGTTTGAGTGTCACAATTATGATCACGAGTTCCTTGGACTACGCGTAGGTGGTCTCTATAATTGCGAAACCGTGCTTGATAGCCATGGATGATTGCTGCGATACCAATCTACCATCACATCTAGCAGATACTAGCTTATTCCCTATATCGATTTGTATCCTAACCGGCATCCAACCTTATCAAATACTTATCTATTAAGAGTATTTTCTTTGTGTCAGCTTTTCATAAATAACAAAAACTACAACTGTGTATAGATGTCTGTTTGATTATGTCTATTTGTGTTGTTAAATATCCACCTGCTTAGCATCGAATTTACGACTGGCTGAGCATGCAGCAGTTTTTTTTCTGCCACGCTTTCGTATGAAGTCAACTGCTCGAGGTTCCCTGTGTCCTCAACACCGACGTCTTCACCCTTCACCGTTTTATATCGCAGTGAAAGGTCTTGCTGATACTGTATCGCTACTTGAAGATATGTCAATGTCTTTATATGGGTGTGTACGATTTGTGCAAGCAGGATGTGACGCTTTGATACTAGAAAATACTTGTGGGAGTGCTTGAACTCTTGTAATCCAAAGTATGCTAAGCTATAAAAACTCCAGTCTCAAACGTCTCATCTAGAAGTTCGTATGTGATCACACCCTTTCTACTTCCATAGTAGATCATGTAAATAGATGGCTCCGTTACTCATAGCAAATTCATATCTCACCCAGAAGTCAGATATACCTAGACCGCTTAGTAAGAAAATATTAAACCAAGCTTGACATCGGAGTTTAGATAATCGGTTTACAATTTGGGCATAGTCTTGTAAGATAGACAGTGTGCACAATGCTACTCTGTGTACGCTCTACTATTGCAGTATTCAATCGGCCTCGTCAGTCCTCCCCCACTTCAACAGAAGATCACTTATACATTGACATAGATAAGCCCTAAGGTATTCTACCATTGTGGCACTAGAAAACATAGGTAATTCACTATGTATATATTGTACAAATGATGTAAAAATTGCTTTCACGACTTCTTGACTGTGTGCCTAGCAATACTAGGGCGTATCTTTTATGCTCATACTATGACCCGTAATTTGGTAGACGAAGGATACAATTGTTTGTGTGTTTCCAGTAGTTGTCTGTTCCTGTTGCTGTTCTTTATTATCATTATTACTAGTATTATCACCATCACCATTCCTATTTCTATTTCTGATACCAAGATAGTTTATCAACTCTCCCCTAGTAGCAGAAGTTTCTGGATCAAGTTGCTTCACTGATATAATATGGCGTAGACGATATTGTTTGTGCTTTGATTTTGATGTTCATTATCGAGAATGTTAGCGTATGGTGACGCTCATATCAAACATCATGCAAGGATAATGATAATCAATATTCATTGAACGTGTATCGTCTTGCACCCAAGCTTTTGGTATAACCTGTTACTACAGTACAAGGCATAATTATGCATGCCGATACCTTCACACAGAAATGCGGAACATTCTTTACTGACTAACTGGTTGTAGCAAACGACTGTTCCAAAACAGCCTCGGAAGTCTGATCTTGCACTCCATATATACCATTGATACTAACAATCCGGTTAGCGAACCCGGCCGTCACATCTGCGTATCGAGTATTTAAACCTCCATCTCCCTTGCATTGCCATGCTCATCAACACTTTTTCGCTGGTTCGGTCACTAGCACCTCTCTGTCCTGGTGTATAACCTGCGTCTCCAACAGAGCTCTCAAATATTGTTTAGTCTACTGATCTGACTTGTGCATGGCCAACTCCTTGTAAACGTCGGTCGAGACAGTTGTAGCTGTTTAAAACGTAAACGCGGAGTAGGGTGGTTCTGAACGAGAGGTTTTTCAGAGAATCCATTAAACTGAAGATTTATATCAACCAATGAGAACCCATACTTGAGATTTATTGAGAAACTGACGAAAAATGACAAA